AGAGAGAGAGAGCAATGCAGAGAGAGGTCGGCACCGGCGTGATGTTGAACGCCACACGCACCGGCGTTGTCTCATCCCATTTCGATGAAGCGGTTGACCACTAAAAAAAGGCAAAACAAAAAACGGACGGCGGACAACAGTGAAGCAAACGGCAGAAGGGAACACAAACAAAGAAGAAAGAAACAAAACTTTAAAGCGAAAGAGGCCTTTTTTTTAATAATTATAGTATTACCGCCCTCGCACACTTGCACATGGGGGCGTACACACACACACATTTACGGACTCCAGGCCTCCACATACGCAGGCCGCGGTGTTTTTCCTCGCCCCCCCCCCCTCCCACTCCGTGTGTGTATGTGTGTGGCCATCGCCGCGCCGCTGTTGTATCAGACGCAGCCGCCACTCCGCACCGGGTCGAAGGCCGCATTCGGTGCAGCGGCAGCGGCGTGCCCGTCGCTCCTACCGCCCCGCAGCGTTGTTCCGGCCCGCGATATCACCCCTCGCTTCATCCTCCTCCGCGCTCCTGTCGACGTTTTTGTCGCTTTCTTCAGGCTGTGGCCCCTCCACCGAAGAGTCGCCCCAGCGACGTTTCCGCTCCGGCGGCAGCACGCGTGGCAGCAGTGCCATGCCGCCGCGCACGAGGCTCAGCGACGCGACGGCCGCCATGAACATTACATACATCGCCGACATCTGCTGCACGTTGTTGGCATACTCACGTCGCTTCAGCAGCTCCGCTGTGGGCGCCACGTCGGGCGGGAGCTTCGCTAACTCCGCAGCCACGAGTGCTGCAGCAATGGGGCCGAGAGACGCCTGCGCGGATGCCTTGCCGGTGTAGCCGGCGCACACGAGAAGCTTATGCTGCCAAGGCGTGCCGGAGCCGAGCTGAATCACAAGCGTCACCACCAGACGCACAACGGTGCTGCAAATAAGGCAGACAATCGCTTTGGGGAAGAAGTCCGAGTTGAAGATGGCGCCAATGTTGATCTTCGCCCCCATCATAGCGAAGAGAAACGGCATCATGGCATTGTCCCAGACAAAGGCCAGCCACGAGCCAATATATTTCTTCTGTTCCTCCAACTCTGGGTTGCCGTCCTTGAGGCAGAAGTGTGTCACCGTGCTCGCGAAGAAGACACACATGGTGCAGCCACCACCGGCAAGGTTGAGGCTATACCCAAGAAAAACCATTGAAAAAGCGAGCAACAAGAACACAAAGGTAGCAAAATCCAGGGTACCGTAGAAGTGCTTCTTCTGGAAATGCCCATTCGGTAGTCGCTCGGCTTCATTCTTCAATATCTCCACAAAGTAGAAGAATGCGACGCCGATGATGATGCCGATGATAATGCCGCCAATAAACTGCACAGGTCCCAGAACAATTGCGACAGCGAGGTTCTGATCGTGGAAAAGTAAACCGATGATAAAGTTCGCAGTCCACACCCCAAGTACGATCTCCACGCCGACAGCGGAGAGCATCAGTGAAAGCGGCCCAACACCACGGCCATACCCCATCTCCTGCAGGTATAAGGTGCCAGGCACCACAACCGCCGGGGAGACGATAGAGCACACCATTCCCTGCAGGAAGGCCCACTGATAGTTGTCCTCATATTTGAATATCTTGTTCGCAATAAGGCTGTGTGCAACTCCCTCGAACGCAAATGGCATTGTCGCCAAAAGTATGCTCTGTTTCCAATGCGGGATGATGCCCTTGATCGTCAGCGAGTATCCGGCGCGCGCCATAATGACCGTAAGACCCATTTTTGATGAAATATCTTTTACCTGGAGCACGATACCCTCCGTTAGATAATGCTCGTGAGGAATGTTATTCCACATAATGGCAATCCACAACACGCCAGCAAGCGGTGGGATCTGCAGCAAACGGCAGAGCAAACCACCCACAATGGCAGCAACCACAACCAGCACGAGTGGGTCCCACACATAGCCGCTAGGCTCCATTAACCAGTGCGGTAGAATATTCCACAGTGTAAACCAGAACAAAACAATCACAAGAATGCGGAGAAATATGCCAGTGACCGGAAGAAACATACGGCGGCCACCAAGTGTGATATTAAAGGCGCCATACGAGCTGCAGTGGATGCCCCAGTGGGGCTCGCCCTCACCCACCTCCGATATCTGCGGCAGGAACCAGTTACTTCCTGTGTATGGCAGCAGTGAGTACACATCGCGTGTGGCGACATTATCCGTGATGGCGGCAATGACGACGAGGTCCGCATCGTTTAGTGTGTGGATCTGCCGCGCAAGCGGATGGAGGTGCTCCGGCACGCCCCGAAGAATGCTCATGTTCAGCGCACTGGAAGCGGTGTGCTGCGACTGCCGACAAACGTCGTCGTGAATGGGCTCCCGCGGGGACTCCTCAGCGCTGATCTGCAACATTTCATACCCCGCATCGCGTAATTCATATTGCCCTCCTTCTCGTTGTCGCTGCTCTTGTTGTTGATCCTGTCCCAGTTGATTCAAAGGTGTTTGATTCCCTGTTTCCTCAGTCTGCAGTGGCATCTCGCCTCACCGGCGCTGTTGTTGGTGTTGTTGTTGTTGTTGTTGCTGTGTGTGGAATCCTCAAACAATACAGTCAGTCTTGACTATGTCTTTAAACGCGTATCGGTGTATTAGTGTGGGTATAAGATTAGTGGGAGTGCTGCACACACTCCTTCGTTCTTCCCCGGCCGTTATATACTATCCACCAGGCGCTGTTTGTGTTTTACTCCCCACTTGGGTAATTATTTACACCACCTACGTGTTCCTTTCCTTCGTTCCCTATATTATCCTGCGCCGCTTGTGTCGCTCGCCGCTCCCAAGCCTTGCTTATTGTGCGTGTTCACAGCTCAGAAGAATGCGCCCAGCAAGCAGTAGATGAGTAAAGGGAGAAAAACCCATGCGTGTGTATGTCTGCGTGCATCCACCGGAAAAAAAAAGGAGTGGGTGCGCATTGAAGCAGTCCAGAGAAAGTGAGTGCGACACCTCGAGTGAAGAGGCGTCCAAGCCGAAACGTGTGCCACGCACATCCATACATGCGCACACCACCCTTCTGCAGAATACGTGCGTGTGGCACACGCCTCCGCACAGCGAACAAGCGCCGATCCCGGAGCGCCCCTTCACGCAGTTGAAGTGCAATCATATAAGAAAGAAAACGCAAGTAAAAGAAAAAACTTCTGCAAACACAAGTGCAGGCGAGCAGTTCGTGTGGGGTGAATGGGTGTCCCTTTTTTTTTTTTTCTCCGCCGCGCCTCCTCTCTATCATGCCGCCCACACCGCCACCGGCCCATGAACAGATGCGCAAAGCGAAAGGAAGCAAAACGAAAAATAAAAATAGCAAGACACCACACGCCCCATGGAGCTGTGTCACGTCTGTCACCAGAAGAAGTGTGGGTGGGTGTATAGATCCACCTGCTATGCGTCTCCTCGCCCACAGAGGAGTGCTACTACTGCAGATATGCCCCCCTCCCAAAAAAAAAGAACGTCCCCCATGTCCCACTTGCTACCTTGCGCCCCCCACCCGTCCCAAAGAGAGAGAAAAAAAGCCCACCGTCCCCTCCGTCCCTATTTGCTACTCCTACGCACTGCCTCCCTAGGAGCAGTCGCTGCCTATTTTAACTTTATTTTTCACTGCATGTGCCACCGCTTTTCATCGTTGGCCTCTGCCACGGCACAGCAGCACACGGCTATGCACAGCTACTTCTGTTGGTTTCTCTCCACTCTACCAGACTTCTCGTTCAGTCCCATTCCTTTTTTTTCTTGGCTTTTTGCCCACAAGCGGGTTACAAAAACAAAAACAGAAGCGTCTCGATGGTACACGCCAAGGGGAATGGGTTACGTCCGTCAGTGTGTGCATAAATAATAAGAAAATGCAAGCATGTTCTCGTGCAGAGCCACCTGTTTGTGTGCTGGCCGTGATGGGGGCACACGAATGACAAGAAAGAAGCACATGTGTGCCCAGAACGGGGGACAGTTAAGAGATAGGTGGGTATGTGCGCTGGCACTCGGTGTGAACCCAATCA